TATATGGAGTCTGATGAGGTGCTAAACCCAGGCCTCTGAGTCTGAAGTCTATTTTTGTGATTCCTCATGGACTTCATTGCTTTGCTCCCCTGGATGTTCTGTTGCACTCCCTTCCTGTTTCTCGTGTGTGTGTGTGTGTGTGTGTGTGTGTGTGTGTGTGTGTGTGTGATCATACTGGACACAATTCCTGCACTGGATCTCCAGTGCTGTCCCCAGCAGTGCCGTGGGTCAGGAAGAGGGCATCTTGTGTCCTGGTGAGGCTAGCCTTATAGTCCTCTCTGTGCCTTGGCTGCTGCCAGCAGTAATATTGTCCTTGGGGCTTGTGGGCCAGGATACAATTTTCTCTCTCTTTCTCTCTCCCTCTTAGTTTGCTCTGTGTGCTCTGGACAGACCCACCCCTCTCCCCAGCCGTGTCTTCACTGCTCTCCTCTATAGTCCAGTCTTCGGGGGAAGGGGTCAGTGTAGCTGGGATTGGGGCCAGCCCCCAGACCTCTCTGTTATTTCTCGGCTTCATGCCAGTATGTTGGACTTAAGGTTTGGTGTACCGGGTTGAGGTCTAGTCCCTCTCACCCTTTCCTGTGGAGACATAAACAATACCCTCCCATGGGTAGGTTAGTGCCCTGTATCCACACTGTCCAGGCCCTCCCCATTTTTTTCTTTTCCTTTACTTTTGAGTTGGATGCCGTATGCATCCCTGGGTTGGGTCTGACCCCTGCCAGAGTGCCTGGACCTAATTTATTCGTTTAGTGACTTTTCTCTCTTAATGAAAGATTGTGTAGCCACTTCTTCGGTGAACATACTGGAACACATGTCCTTGGTTTATATGGCTTACATTCTTCAAATCTTTAACTCTATTTTAATTTTCCATGGTGTACATTTAAATCTGTTTTCTCTTGCATTATACTATAAGTAAAAAGACAAAATAATATGCCTGCCTCTCCCCTCTCCTTTAAGATCTTGCTTAGAATTTACATAGACAAGTACTCAAGTTCATCATTTAAAAGTTCTACCTTCAGCCAATATTTAAACATAATTCAGACAAATTATTTGCCACTGCATAAAACATTTCATCCTTCCTCTATTGCCCATTGCATGGTCAATATTTTTAAGGCCTCCCCCCAAAAGCATTTTCGATATTCATATTTCTAGCAGCATTCTGTCTCTGGTACCAGAGATAGTCTCTATAATAGAGACTTTCTCTATAGCTCACCTAGGATGGAAATGGATATAAGGTCGGGAAAGGTTAGAAACAAGTGACGTTTTATAATATCATCTGAATCTACGTGCGTTAGCTTTTATAAATCAGAGCTAATATCGTCAATGATGGGACCTGTCAGCAGCTTGAAAAGAAAGTGGCTTAAGGTCACAGGCCACTACATGCCCAGGGATATAAATAATCCAACTTCTTTGTTGCAGCATCTTGTCCCGATGATGGATTTTGTATTTTA